GAAAAAAAATTTTTTTAAATAATAAAATCTCAAGCCCAAGAGCCTCTAACAAGTCAAAGCTGAGTTCTTAGGGGTTTGTTCGTCTTGGATACAATGATGCTGAAACATCACTGCTCAGTAAACCCGCCCCCCCTTCAGCTAAGGCTGAAGGTTCAGCCCCCTACATCAGGCTCCCTCTTCAGCCCATACAGCCTTGAACACAGTCACCATCAGTTAAAAGAAACCACGCTAAGAAGGCAAGTCAGAAGCACGTGGGGCACAGGTGTGGCACAGTGACCGACATCAGGCGCAACCACGAAGGGAGAGCTGGAAACGCAGAGCCATCGCTCAGTCTCCCCAAGCGGATACAGCAAACGGATGAAAAGAACTCAAAACCTAAGGCTAGAGTCGTTCCTCGAGGCGCCCGAATGATAACGATCACAGGCATTTCTGCACGGTGGCAGTCAACCCACTGGTTCGGAATCATTGGTGGGACAGCCTGGAAAACTTTCAGAAAATAATCTCTGAATTGCCTGCCCACAGACAAGTCACCGTGCTAAGAATCCAATCGGGACAGCGAGTAGAGAGGGGCACACCAGCCGCGTTGCCTACCTGGCACCCCAAAACCAATGTCCCCCCTTCCCCTCGAAAGAGTAAAATCAGACGGCTTCCATGGAAATGGGAAATTAAGCCAGACCCTGATGAAAAAGGGTGGGAGGTAGCCTTTTAACAATTACCCTGGAAAAAGCAAACACGGGAACAACAGACTGCACCACTAGATACATTTTCTGGAGAATGTGAACATTGAACAAGGCTCTTCCTGTTTAAACACTACCCTAGGTATTTCATAACCACGGAATTATTCATTAAGTCTGATACTGGAAACCTCTCATATTGGATTGCTCTGGTTATCTGAATTCTCACCCTCAAATGGGTCAGAAGGACTTGAAAAGAACCACTTATGGTTCCTAGTGAGGGGCTTGTCCCTGAGAAAGTCCTCAGTGTTTTGACTGGTTAAAATAAACAGGCAAAACACACACACACTGAATTCGGATCAGAGGGAGTGAGCATGGAGAGTTATACAAACACCAATTCTTTTGGCTTGCCCGATTTTTGCTCTCGGAGGTAATGTTTAGCCCAGTTCTTTGTCTATGAATTGTGAAATACTTTATATGCTAATAAAGAATGTGTACTTCATTGTGTATTTAACTGCATAAGCCTGCATTTCGTTTAACTGACCGGGAATAAGTCCTTGTTCCTAAGCTAACTCTCAAGTTCCAGTCAACTCTTAAATATTAACACTCGTACTGAGGAGCAAGGATGCAGATAATACAAAACAGAAGATTATTTGAAATCATTCACTCTTGGTATGCGGATATATTCTTTTTTCTCTTAACTTGCAATTAAATGCGTATGGCTGACATTACAGCATTTACAATACTCGTAACAAAGGACTTAAAACCATGCTGGAAAAATCTGACTTCCTTGTGCATTCTTCATTCACTGACTCTGCTTTTGAGTTTGGGACCAACTCACACATTGGTCCAGGACAGCACGACCTCTCAGAAGGTTGCCAAAAAAATTGGTTTGGAAAAAAAAAATGCAAACTACTTTCTTCTCAGGTTGTCGCTTTTCAGAATCACACTTTGTACAGGGTGGGAAAGTAATTAGGGGTTTGGGGTTGGAAAAGCCCTTTTATTTTAGCTCCTACTGGGCTGGTGTAAACAAAGATATCATTAATGTCAACAATGACTTAATTAACCAGAGTAGGTGACAAAACGTCAGAAAAAACTTGAAAGAGTCACCTCCTCCCCAGGATAATCAAGCTTGATTATACTTTAAATAATTAGAATATTAATCAACAGAACAGTACTTGGCTTTGAGGACTAACCCCCTTTGAGTCAATAACTGAGCTTATAGTCTTCAGCCATTCCCCTACAACAATGAATGACCAACGGAAAATATTCTTTTTTAAACTGGGATATTAACTAAAATCTCCTGGAGATTATTTTCTTCATAAATCAGTTGGGTAGATCCAACCCTACTGTTACCATTTCATAGTGTCCAGAAGACAAATGATAGATGATAGATGATACGATACAATGATATATGATAATATTGTACAGAGCCAAGAAGATTGGAAAGGATTCTCTAGTCTTAGGGCACAGGCCCCTCCCTGGAACTTAGTCACATTTTGCCCCAGACACATTCTCCTCTGGTCCAGCCCCATACACAGCGTCTACTCTGAGCCTCCAAATTAACAAACCAAGAACTCTTCCAAGATGAGGCCTTGTGCAACAGAAGGTTAAGGTTGAACCTATGCTAATCAAAGCTATAGTCAGACGAACCACAGAAGACACACTGGAACCAACAGACACCCACTCACCCACCAATCCTCCCTCTCTCCCCCCAGGTCGGCAGGACCATGCCCTAAACTGGAGCTGTCCCCAGTCGGTCAGTCTGCTTCCAGTTGCTAACCCCTTCTTCACCTACAATCAGACTACCTTGCTAATAACCTCTGACGCTAAAACAAAACTCTGGGAGTGGAAGAACGCAAATCGACGGCCAATACGGTACTTACCAGGACAGCACAGACCCTACAGAAAGCAAACACAACTGCCTGGAGCCACAAAGGGCCTTCTCCGTCGGAGAGCAATTTTCTTCCCCACTCTCTCCAAAAGCCTCCACGTTTCCTGACACTGTGGCAATGGGCACAGAACAGAGCAGACACATGCGCCCATCTCATCGGGAACGAGGATGAGAACAGATCCTGGGTGCTTATGAGATGCCAGGCCGTGTGCTCTACTGCTCTCTGCTCCCAGGGACCCTAAAATCTCCCGGCGACCTTTTGAGGCGAGTTGCCAGAAGGCTCCTGAGGACATCACCATTCATTTAGCATTAACGAAGAAGACCTTAAAGGTCATCTTATCAAACCGTCAGATGACAGGAAGGGAAACTGAGGCTGAGGGGGTTGAATGCTTTTCCAAAGCCACTTGTTTGCAGCTCTGCACTTCCCATTTAAACCTGTCACGATCCTGGACGCAAACCTCATGGAAGCTGTGAACCCCCAAAAATGCAGACAATGACATTTGCAAAGTATTGCCTACAACTTGGGGGGGAATTCGCAAACACCTCCCCAGCCCCCAAGTGCATCCACAGATCCCAGGTTAGAAAGACCTGCTCTCATTGTTGGATACAAATTGTTACACAACCATTGGGGGGGGAACCTCATCGCTGCCCTCTGTGTCTTCCCCTCTCAGCCCCCACCTCTTCCCGCATATTTTAAACTTTCTTTGATAATTAAATATGATAAAAAAAGAGGTCCTCCAGGACTGTTTACACTTTATATGTTGCGATAAACTCCCAATAAGGCTGCCCTGAAAGTCGAAATGAAAAATGCCAGTTTTTTCCTAACCTGGGCCGTTCCCGGTAGGGAACCCCCGGCTCAGCTGCGTGGGCAAGTGCTGAGCCACGCACTCCAGGGAAAAATCAGCAATTAGGAAGCACATCTATTGTAATTATCAGCACAATCAGAGAACAGGCATGACTTTCAGAAACCAGGAACCTTTTCTCTCGCATTAAGCCCTTTAAAAAGGCATCACCTCTGCAAATCGCACATGTGCTTCTGTCACAGCACGTAGCACAAGGAGGCAGTGCCATCATCACCCGGGCTGGAGCCCGTGAGTGTCGCAGACACAAACTCTCACCAGACTCCCCCCTCCCGGAGACGTGGAAACCCCTGTGACGTCACTGCACCTGTTTGCACAAAGCCCCCATGCCTCTGCGTGAGACGGGGCACCGACCGGCCTCACTGTTGCCAATGCCCGACTGCCTCCCAGTAAGGCCCGTTTTAGAAAAACAGTTGCCCTTACTTATCCTCTTATGACCCATGCGTGGGCCTCAGTGGGAGCCCCCTCCCTCGGTGCTCTCACCTCTGGCAGGAACACAGCCCTCCTTCCCGTGTCGTCCCGACCGGCTCTCCGCCCCTCTCCAGGGGTGCCCTCCCAGAACAGCTGAGCTGACCCCAGACCACTCGGGACCACGACCGCCCCCAAAGCTTAGCAAGCACCAGGTGGGCTCTCAGCAAACAGGTTCATTAAGTGGCGATGAGTGCTGGGATCTGCCGTTTTATTCTCGGATTACCACTGGAAAACTAACTCAGCTCCCAATATTCCCTGCTGATGACAGATTTCAACGCCGCACCAAGTGGAGGCTTGGCTACTGTCGTCTCAGAAGGACCCGGGAAGGAGGTTCCAACCCTGTCCTGCTGAGTAATTCAGCCCCACTGAAGTGTTCACCAACTGGCTTCGTGCCTTTAAAATTAAATTTCCAAGGCTGAAACAGAGTGCATGGCCTGTTCGATCTGTAAATTCTCAGAGATGTGGGAGACAGCCAGGTACCTTCACTTCCAAATTTACCTAAAGCACAATCTGCAGTTTCTGCGACGTACTGCTCAGGTATTATGAATGACAAGGGCCAAAAAAAAGAAAAAACAAAAAAACACTAATACGTCTAGCATCTCTGGGCTGAACTTCAGAAGCTTCTTTTTCTCCTCAGACAATGAAAAAAAAATGTCAGCATTTCAGATGTTGGCAATTTCCCTTCGTGGCTCCTTTTGTCAGAAAACAGCAATTCTTTACATCAGAAGCAAGACTCTCCCTCCGGTAAGAAAGCTCCTGCAGGAAGCTATAGATGGCCTTCACCTCCACGCACCCCCTTCCCGCAGCACCGCCGGGCACCGGAGAAAGGTGAAGTGCAGGCTGGCTCCCTCACCCAGAGCAGGGAAGCGCACACACCCAGAAACCACCAAACTACCATCCGGCCTGCGGTGTTACAGCAAGGAACCTTCTCTGGCAACCTCGGGCTTGGGGGCAGCAGGGAGCCCACTCCTGGCTCTCAGAGCCTCACTGACAACGCAAGGGCAGCGGATTCTAAAAGAGGCCTTGACCTCAGTGCCACCTCCCCCGGACGAACGCCCCAAACAAACTTGGGTACCCTGAGAGTGAAACGAAGGAACTTACCTTCCGGCTCTAACGTGGTGTCCTCCACTAAATTGAAGGAGGGCCGGGCCAGGGCCAGGGTTGCCATGGTGACCACGACCAGGCAGAGGAAGCGACCCCAGCTGACCATGGGTGAGGTGGTGCCAGTCCCCCGAGCTCTTGCATATCTGCATGTGGACGTCACTCCCATCTGCACACCTCCTCTGCGCGCATGGACCGCCTGCGATGCTCAGGAGCCAAGGTGCTGCCGCAGCCGCTGCAGCCTCTAGAGGAGAGAGATTCGGCGAAGTCAGTGAAATCCTCCCCGATGCCAATTCGCTGAAACCCCAAGCGGGCTAAAACAGCTTCTCAGCTTCCCAAATATATGTGCCAACAGTTCCTTTTCATGATCTGCAAATGCCTTGCGTCCGCACCTCAGAGCCCCAGGTGTTTCCACCAGCCCGGTCCACGAAGCAGGGTGGGCTGATCTTTAAAAAGCACACTTTTGAGAAACAGAAGTAGAGGCGTAGCGACGGGACACAGATCAGGGCGGGGTGCGCTCTCTTCTGCTCTCCACCGTCACCCCTGCCGCCCTCAAAAAGCAGAAGCAACGTGACCTTTGTTTGAAGGGCAACTACAAAAGCAAGTTCACAATGCTCGGGTTGGCATCACCGGCCTTGTTAACTTCTCTTAGGCCAACTGGGCTTCAGACAGCTGGATCGTGGAGGCGTCTGTTTGCAGACTTATTTCTGGGGCTGCAGCTGAGAGGCTGGCTCCACCCTCACTGTTCTTAGGAAGAAAGGAGACCAGCAAAATAAAAGGGACCCCAGGAAGGCTACCAAAAATCCCCACCAGTTTACAGTTGTCAGGATTCATTTCCCAGTACAGAAATGTGTTTCAATCTTTCGCCAGGCAGCCACTTGCGAAGAATGAACGGACCTGCAACACGTTCAAAGCAGCTGATCCAAGAAAACGAGATTCAAAGCCTGAAGAATCCCCTTCCGCTGTGACTACTGGCAGCCCCCAGCCTCGTAAATGTCTTCAACCCATACAGAGCGGGTGAAGGAACAGAGCAGACGCAAACTCGGAGGAATAAGGCAGGTGTGTTATGAACGACGATGGTGCCGTGGAAATTACTGTCATGGTATGCGATTGGGACAATGACTTTCAATAGGCTAATCTATTGGCTGAAACTTCACAGTAGAAGTTACGGGGGGGGGGGGAGGGAGGGGGGGCTCAACTGCCTGGTCTATTCACCCATTTGACCCAAAGGCAAAGAGAACTTCCCAAACTTAAATATTCCGAATGACTTTAAACGCGTTCATTATCCTCAATCACTACGTGTAGAACCGAAATGCACAAACTTGAGAAAATCTGAAACAATCACAGATTCCATAAACTCTATAAATGAACCAACCACATATTAAGGATTGGCGGGGGGAGACCTTTCACACAAAAATCTCTAAGCCCTGGGCTTTTTGCATGCCAACTTGAGGTTTCAAATTATACCATCAGATTTCAACACGGCGTGAGCCTCTCCAAAGCTACATCAGAAAAACTGTTCCTTTTAGCCTTGACTAAGGATTAAAATGGGAAAAGAGACTGCTGCACCATTTCCTGAGAAGGAAAAAAGAAATTCTCTGCTGCAGAGAAAGCACATGTGCAACGGTGTGATTCACAGCAAAAGCAAGAAAAGCGCGTGCATGCAAGCACACCCTCTATTTTCAGATCGCTTGAAGGATGTTTTTTTTTTCCCCCTGACTTTTCTTTCCTCTTGAAGTTAAGAGCCTCAAAAGATAACTCCGTATCTATTTCTACACACATGTGGGAGGAAAGTACACAAGCATGCCCATTGATTTACTAAGCATTTCCAGAATGCATGGGAATTTTCTGCCTCTGACACAACTCCACAAACAACCTTAAATCCTAGCAGGTTTCCCCCCAGGCTGCTTCCCTGGCCTCCTCGCCCACCTGTCCCAGCCCAGGGGGCTTCCTCTGCTCCAGGCAGAGAAAGCTGGTCAGGGACCTCAGCTAAATCTCAGACCATTCATTCATACCGGTCAGCTTGCACCAGAAACTTGAATTTTAGCCATTACCGGGTCCAGGCCCCAGGCTGCCCCCTGCTCACATCTCTGGAAGGCGGAGGCCTAAGGCAGCAGGTCTGCACAACTCCTCACCAAAGGGGACAAAAGTGTGAAGGGACCTCCTAGGCAGGATAATTAGGTCCCGAGGCTCGGTGTTGGGAACACAGGCCCAGCATGCCGCTGGCGGCCACAATCCCGGCTTCCTGCCTTCAATACCATAATCCTTCCTGGAGTCTGAGCCTCAGTGAAAGCCCCGGCGTGTTTATTTTTCCCCTTGAAAGGGAACTCTCTTCTCAGCCCGGGCAGGGGAGGCGTTGTCACCCTCCCTGTGATGGACGGCTCTTCGTGGCCACCCGCTCCCCTGGTCCATTTTCACCTCAGCACAAACCTGCCCCCAAACACACGCAAAGTGACAAGCAAGAGAGCCTGGCTGGCAAGTGGTCCCTACGCCAGGTTTGTCCTGGACTCCTCAACTTACCAGAATATTCCCAACCCCCGCCCCCACGCTCCAAGAGGCAAACCAACACAGTGCCCGCCTTAATTGAGCTCCTAGGTTATCTGTCCTCTGCCGGCTCACCCATGGCCGAGCATTGGGGCGCTTTGTTCCCGGGAGATCTTACATCAGGAAAGTCAACAAGGCCACGTAAGGTTGGGATGCCCAGGTCCCCCCAGGGGGCAGACCTATCTCCCAGCTCAAAGCCTCCCTGCTGCTCCCCCTCGTCTTCCCAGCTGAGTAAGGGAGGGAGCTATCAAGGGGTCAGATCTGGGCGGGGGCTGCTCAACATTCTGAAATCTCAAAAAAATACAGGCTGACTCAGGACCGCAATCCACCCCTTGGTGAACGCCTGCAAGCCAGTGAGAACTTGCAGCAGCTTTGGGGAACTCCTAACCACCAGCAGCCCGGCTCATTGTGGCCACTTCTTTCATTTATCCAGAGTTTCTCCCCCTTCTTGGGGCGCTAAAGAGCTCAGAAAAATCTGCATTTTAATTGACATTCCAGGGAGAGGGAGAGGGAGAGGGGCGCCTGATTGCTTTTCTATTCAAACTAAACAGGCTTTTCAGATGAAAATGAGTCGTGGCCAGTGGAAGATTTACAGGGATTTGGGACCCAGGGGACAATGGGGTTTTAAATGTCGATAGCGTTTCACACCAAACACATAATGGGTGCCCCGAGTGTGAAAGCAGGTTTGCTTTTAAGGGTAGGTTTTATTGAATTGGGCCAGAGGAAGGCAGGCCCGGAGGAGGGTTTGGAGGGAGCGGGCTCGGAGGGGAGCGGCGGAGACTCGGCGCCCCGGGCCGGGACCCCCCGAGGCTGGCCCTGTGGCCGCGAGAGTGGGAGCCAGCGTCTCGCAGGGCCCTCGGCTGACTCCCCGGCGCGGCCCCGGCGCTGAAAGAACGAGCGCGCAAGTTAGAACTCGCTTGCGCTTTCGACATGCCCTAGCTGCTGCCGGCTGAACAGGCGGCGAGCGAGAAAAAAGTCGGTCCAGTTCGCCCCCTAGCCCCAGGCGCGCTGCGCTTCCTCCAGCACCGAGGGCGGCAGCGGGCTAGGGGCGCCCGTGCCTGAATCGGGGAACCGGAGCGGCCTCCTCCCCAAAGGTGCCACCCCCCTTCCCCCGAGCACAGCCAGCCCGACGGAAAGGTCGCGGGCCCCATTCAACGGCTCCGTCCCGGGAAAGGACGGATCCCCCCACCCTCGCCCGGCCTGGATGGGACCAGGGCGGGCGGGCGCTCCCCGGACCCCGGGATGAGCCACCCCGAAGATGCCCCTCCGAAGCCGGGACCTGCGGGGCCGAGCCACCAGCGAGGCAGCCCCGCCACTCGCCTGCCCGCTCTGGGGTCGGAGGATCGCG